ACCAGCTAAGGCTGGGTCATCATCCTGACCCACCAGCACTGACGGGGAGATCGACAGACAGGGAGACATCAAAAGAACTCAAGGAGCTCGGTTTATTTAGTTTATCAAAAGTTTATGTAATATCTTCATAGGGAACAGACGTTTGACAAGCATTTTTCAGTTTAGCAAACTATAACAGACATGAAAGCTGCAGCCAGACAAACTCACATTAGCAATAACACACAGTTATTTCAGGGGGAAAGGGGCTCAGTCAGCTCGTGCTGGACAGCCCTGTCCTTTTTTCTCAGATACATTCTGCTGGGGCAATATTATGCAAAATTTAGGTTGGTTTTAATACCTTTCAATGCACAAGAGTAAATCTGAGCTATGTCAGGCCATCTTCAACAGATTATCCAATATATTATCATAAACTATACATGCCTCTAGATGATAAATTAGTCTACATATGCATGTGAAATTACCTTCTTCCATGGAAAGTGATAAAACTGCATGAAAACCTAGCGAGACACCTACAAAGATGTGTTTTATTAATCAACAGGCAATTCACAACTCAGATCCTACCATGCATCCCACAGGGCTGTTCTCATTCTTAAGAACAGAACCAGATTTTCATTTCCATCACAGAGGAATCACAGTTCTCCAGTAAAAGTAGGTACAACTCCACCACACAATGGCAGTGGAAAGGACAATGTCCTGGCTCTGGGAGGCTTTTATCAGTTTTGAACATCCAAGCATTASTTTTGAAGTGAGCTGTCAGTTCAACGCTGCCACATTTGTAAAATGCACAGAGTTTGAAACAATGAGATGAAAATGAGATTGCTGTGAATGAGGGATTCTCAGCCCTGCAAGGACACAGTTTYCCTGTCCCACCAGTCTGACAAGGTCCTGTTGCCATCTAGTGGATTCCACAGACTGGTCCCTCTGCACAGCAAATGCCACTAGATGGAGTGTTCAGGAGCAATTCTGAATTCCTGCTTTTTTATGTGTCCAGCAGCTCAGATTTTCAAAGTCTCAAAAAGTTAGAGGCCCAGAATTAGCCTGAAAGTGAGGAGGATTTCACCAACTGCTCTCAGTTTCATGAGAAGTTCCAGACTATAGATTTCCAAGTGTAATAAACACTACAGAAAAATACTCCCATATCAACAGGGTGTCTGTCACTCATACAGCATCTCCTGAACTCAGATATCTCTGGTGGCATCAGTTCTTACACAGCCTGCACTCTGCTGGTGTAAACATCATGTACAGACCTGATCTGCTCCTTCTGTGAGAAATACCTCAGCAGCTGTGGGAATCCCCACTGCCATGAATAAGCATTACCTCTAAAACTTCTTAAGGTCTCTATCATCAATTCACATCTCTGCCTTAGAATGAGAAATTCTACCTCATCACACAAGGCAAGAAAAGGGGTACTTACTGCCCATGGAGTTCACAGGGAGGACAGGAGAGGAGGAACTCATCTGCTCCACATCTGTAGAGAATGGGAAAGTGAAAATGAGAAAGATGTGATGTGCATTTTACTGAGACAGTTTTATTTTGAAAAYTTTCATTTACACTTCAATTGAATAYGYGTGTCTTCAATCACCTGAGGAAGCTGCTTTGAGAAGCAGACAATTTAAACAGCATCAGCTTTCCCCCTTTCAAGGTATTTCTGTCTCATACATATTATCTATGGATCTAATTTTCTGAGCAGTTATATATTTGTAATTTGTGATGGTTTGAGAATATCAATTCAGAGCAACTTCCAGCACAAAGAAATTCTAAATTACATCAGCTTTAAACTGTATGCAGAGCATTAGTGTGGAATGAAAGGACATGATGATCTCCCATCTGTGTCCAGTGAACCTTCAAAAGATTCCTGATCAGAAGAGAGATCCTCTTCCAAAGGCAGGCAAGCTGCTGGCATTTGATCTGCAGCAGCAGCAGAAAGACACTCCACAGCTTTATTTTCAAGCAGYTGAAAGAAGAAACAGAACTTCCTGCCTGTGTTTGCCAGCAAAAAACCCTCAAAGTCAGAACAGGATCAAAACCAAAYGCCAGAGTGCCCTCTGTGTTTTGGAAGGAATCCACATTTCCAGGACCCAAACCAGGAGAAAACCATCTTGCAGTAATAGGGTCAGTTTAACCCAAGATTAGGTAAAGCAAAGATGCATCTTTGGATTTGATCTCAGTCCAAAGACCACAGTCCCTCTCAGCACATCACCACCACATCACCCAAGTCAAGCAGCTCCATCTCCATCATTTTRATGCTGGTAGGTCCCACATAATGATATATTCTACAATTCTTGTTTAGCTTTAAGACCCAATAAATGCACACTACAAGTTTACATTCCTGACCACAGAACACAGCCCCAGAAACACAGCTCCAGCCCACAGGCAGGCTTTGCTGCCAGCCCAAATCCTGCCTTTCACATTCTTGCAATTCTCATTTCTCCAGCAGTTCCCTGAGGACCACTGTTTACACTGAAAGTGCAAAGTTCTGCTCAAATTAGGCAAACCACAAACAAATGTAAACACTTCAGCAGATSATTTTTACAGAACGTGAGAGCAGACACTGCACCACGCTGACTAAATCCTCCTGCCATACTTTCCTACTACTCYGAGCTTCCTCAGTGTAGCTACTCAAAGCTTACTTCATCGTGTTAAACACCAGCTGTGGCTGAGAACAGCAACAAACAAAATTACAAATTTATTCAGCAATGCCCCAGCTTGTTTCTGTCCCTTTTGCCACTGAATTATCAAGATTTTTACTGCGTGGAACATCTACACATTAATTTATCATCTTGCTTGGCTCTTACACCAGTGTTCAGAAAACTGCACGTGACACACCAACTGCAGACTTCCCAACAGGATTACACTGCAAGGGTCTCTGATGTGCTCAGAGAAGAWAAATTAGTTTGCATCTTCCTATTTTCCACTTAATACTACAGTCTCCCTAATTTAGGAACTGCTGACCCTGTGAAGGAACTAGCAGCCATATGCTATACATGTTTTTATAAGTAAAAAAAAAATTCTTCATATGTGGTACAGCCATTTCAGATTTCTGGAAAGTTTTGTACTTTTGCCTATTGAAAGATATATATATGCTTTCCCAAATAGCCCAATTCAGCCAGGTTGAAGTGAGTGTGACTCTTGTGAGAGCAGTGCAGATTCAGCAGATGGTCACTCTGGGGTTACCTGCTGCTCTGGCACAGAGGTCACTGCCCCCCAGATGGCACAGGGCACCACTTGAGAGCCACTCAGGGCAGTAAACTACACCTGCCAACATCTGCAATAGTTTATCAAGTATCATTTAAAACGCAGCTAAATAATGCATGTGCTTTCTGAAGAGAGGTTTCTGAGTGGGAGGTGTTTGGAGAGAGGCAGCGCTAATTGTCTAAGTCCTGAAATTTTAGATTGTTCACTGTAATGCCACGTTACAGGCTGCAAACAAAGAAGTGTAACTATTTCCCAGCCATACTTGCAAATTTCAGTTCATGCTTGAAATGATGTGTTTTAATGACTATTTCTGATGTGTTCACCAATGCAGACAACATGGTCACCACCACCCAGCTGCTCAAGGTTASAATTCCCTCAATGTCCTGCATGTTCTGCCAGGAACCAGCGATGCCACAGCCCTGCAGGAACATGGAACAGCTGTGGYATCCAAAAACACCAACACAGCAGCATTTCTGTTCTTGTGCTGCTTCTGGCAGATGGTATTTATAACGTGTTAATCTCAAAATCACACTTTGATTTTGGACGTAAAAGCACAACTGATTATTCTATACCTGGTCTTGAATAGATGGATTAAAAAATTTCTGTCAATATTAAAAAAATTCAAGCAGCTGTTTATGAAACATGGCAATGGTTTTCTCTCTTATCCATAACCCCCACCCTTCCCTCCAGCCCTTTTTATCTTCATAATTATATGCAAACCMCTAAATTCCTAAAAGCAATTCAGCTAAGGGAGAGGAGATATGGACTAACAACCAGCTGAGATTTTGGAAAGTGGTTTGCTCTAAAAGATGAAAAGAACAAAAGTGCTCAGCTATGAAGAGCAGCTGCTGCCAATACAAGTWTTTACCTCCTGACCTCTCCTCTGCCCACTCAGTGAACAGTGCCAATTGTTTTCCTGTATTACAAGCCYTGAGTGGCATGAAAGGAATTAATAATTCAGCTCATGGAGCTGATGACCTTCATTGGGGTACCCCTATTTGCTGAAGAGGAATCAGAGCAAAAAGTTCCCTTGAARCCACAGGGTTTCTTTAAGAGTTTTTCACTTTACAGCCTAATTGGCCACCATAACATAAATCAATTATTTCTCCTGTTTTAAGCAACAATGCTACCTATTCTCAACCCCTSGATTTCTAACTTCCCTTGTATCAAGCCAGTCCTTGTTCCTTGACTTTTACAATGTCTGGTGAACACTCTGGCAAGGCCAGCTCAGAGAGCTGTGCAGGATCAGGAACATTTGGGAACACCAGCAAAAAGAGGTTATGCTATTTTGAACTTCTCTTGACCTTTGCCTGCCCTTGTCCCTGTTTATGCTAATTGAAGGGGTATATGGGCTAATCCTAGAAATGAACTTAGCCTGAACCTGTGACACAGCACTGGACTTGGAAGATGAGTGAGATGACACTCCCAAAATCATCTCACAAATGGGAAGARCTCAGCAGGTAACACCTGAGCAGGGCAGGGATTCCTGGGTGGGAAKGAGCAGRAGGTGCTGATTTAGGGAGTCCCATYGTGTCCCCCTTYCYGAGCAGCTCAGTCACTGTGGAGCCACAATCCCAGTTCTGCCCGTGGGGCTCAGGCAGGAGATGAGCCCAGGACAGGCTCAGCAGGCACAGGATGTTCCAGAGCTGATCTGCCACATCCCACCAAGTGCTTCTCTCAGCCTGGAGGTGACAAATTGTGACCCCACTGTCACAGTCTGCTCAGCTGGGAGGTTCTGCAGGACCCTGAGTTCTCCCTGCTGAGCTGTTCCCCAGCCCCATCTGCAGGAACAGATCTTTGTGTCTGAGCAAAGGTTCAATCAATCCTTTCCTTTGTGTTATCGAGGTCCTTCTGAAAGCAGCTGTGCCCTGCAGATATCAGCCTGCAAGTCTGAGGAGTTTGTCCATCCCACCATGGTTAATGAAATCACTCAATAATATCAGCCCCAATACTGATCCCAAGGACAATCACACCACAAYGGCCACCAGTCAGAGCCTCAACTCCACTGCCAACTTTAGAACAAAAAAGGGCAGCTTTTCACCCAAACTGCTTACAGGGGTGACACAAGAAGCCTTGCCTAAAATTAAGGTGAATGGCAAAATTACTGTCTCATCCATGGATCCAGTCATTTCATCACAAAAGGAATGAGGTTGGTCAGGCATGATCCTTGGTAAACCCACAGTTCATGTTCCAAATTACCTTCCTGTCCTTCAAGTGCCTGGAAATGCCTTTTGGGAGGAATTGTTTCATACCCTTCCTACCCTGAGACCAGCCTGCAGTTCCCCAGAGCAGCTACTGCTCAGCAGAGCTGAGTTAAAGGTGATTCATTATCCCTTATCAGCTAAATTTTACTATACAGAGACATTCCTCCCCTTTCCCCTACATTGGGTAGAGCTTGTCTCACCTCAACACTGAAAACACACACTGGAGACAGRAGTGGGAAATAAGGTCATCTTGTGATAAATATTTGCACTTATTTTCATTTACATGGAAAGAATCCACGCTTACCAACAAAACTGAAAGGAAACCTACCCAGAGCTGTGTGTTCCATGTACCTGCACTGTATTCCTCAATACATTCTCTACAAACATTGTTATTTTAAATGCCTGTTTACATTCCAGYAAAATTCTGTCAGCATGGTATCTGATTTATTGATGCCATCAAAAGTCACAGGATTCCTGACGTGCCTCCTGAGGCACAAAACTCAGAGCAGAAAGGAGATACAGAATATGCCAGAAATCATGTTGCAAATTAGCCAGAGTTCCCAGAAGCAAGTTGTTCCAGGCCCCAAACAGCCCTGTAAATGGATATTTTCACCAAATGCAGGGGATGTGCTGTTTAATCCAGCAGTGCAGGAATAGCACTGACACACCAAGATCCTGGAAAAGCACTGCCATGGGATCAGGCTGAAAACAGCTTTTTCCCCCTAATCTACATTTCACAGCATTTATCTTCCAGTTTTAATTGGTGGAGATAATGTCACAGCTCCTAAGTGCCATGGGTTCCTAAGAACCACTTCAGSTGTGGGTGTAATTCTGGATTTTGGGAGGTCTCCTGTGCCCACAGCCACCTGTGTCCTCAAGATTTTGGATTTTCCTTTTATTATTGATTTGAGCATCTTGTCCATAAAATTCAGTGACTTTCCTCTCACCCCACTAACAGCAGCACCCCAGGTTTTGTTGGAGTGAAAGGCTCACATAAAGCATTTGGCCTCCCAGGGATGGGGATTACAAACGGACAGGAATTAAGGGAAATTTGACTCTTTCTCCCCACCTACTGTCCTCCGTGTTTGCAAACCGCATTAGCTCCTGCTGCTTGCAATTCCTGAAACACTTC